ATTTTAATAAATAATTAGATTATAAATAATAAATAAATAATTATATTAATAATTTTTACCATATTATTATGATGTATCTATTAATTACTACATAATGACTTGATAAAATGTATATAAAGATATATGTATAATAATTTTTCTTGAAATAAATATAATATGCAGTGGATTTATTATTAAAGCACTGTATATATCGGTCCCACAATTCAAAAGGAAGTTTATGCGAGATAACTCCCGAGCTTGCGTGGCTATGCGGTATGTGTATTCGACTTGCGTCCTCGAGGTCTAGGGTTCGGTCCCCCGTGCGTGCGATATTTTTCCGTCTTAGTTTTAAGTGTTTTGTGTATAATTCTTAACAGTGTTACATAAAGTATAAGTTTAAATAATTAATAACCAGTAATAATAATAATTTAGTCATTAATTTAAATAAATAAGAATTAAATAAATAATGAAAAAATAAGAAAAATATTTTTTTAAAACTTATTTTAATAAAAGGAATTCTAATAATTAATTAATAATAATTAATACTAATAATAATTATTAGTATTCAATAAATTACTCCCCATGCTTTAATAATTAAATAAGGAGCTTATACTGACCGCCGGTAAAAATCAGTACTGGACAGCGTTACCAGCCAGGGTTTTCCCAGTACTGACTTAGTACTGGAGTCAGTACTGCAATACTGGCAGTCAGTACAAGATCAGTACTATGCCAGTATTACATTTCTACTTGGGTTTTATAGATTTTTCTAACAATACAACCAGGGTATCGGTATCTTCATGTTTTATTATAATTAAAGATGACCGAGTGATTAAATCATTTATAATTCAATATTATTTACGAGAATTTTTAACTAAAATTCTTCTTTAAATCGATTATTTTTAAAAATTTTCGAAAAAATTCGTTGACAATTTTTAAATCCATCTGTTTATCTAAAATTTTGAATGAAATCCATTTTTAAAATCAATTTTTATGAGGAAATTCTACTAGAATTCAATTATTTATAAATACAAATAAAATGCAAATAAATAATTTGTTGAATAATTGAATGTTTCTTAAAATTCAATTCTAGTAAAGAATTTAATCAACAAATTTTTAAGTAATTGAATTGTATCGACGAATTTTAATAAAATTTTTAAGAATAATTACATTTTTTGAGAAATTTGATTAAAATTGTGTTGAAAATAATTTAAATTCTGCGATAATTTTTATTATTTTTGAAAATAATTGAATTTTTAAAGAAGTAATTGAATTGATTAGAAGAATTTTATTAAAATTTTTAAAAATAATTGAATTCTAGCACCGAATTTTATTAAAATTTTCAAAAATTATTAAATTCTTAGGAAGGACTTTTAAAATTGTTCTTAAATAATTGCGTAAAATGTTTTAAAAATAATTTTAAATTGTATTAAAAATAATTGAAATTCTCCAATGAGTTTTATTATTTGTGAAAATAATTAAATACCTAAGAAGAATTTTATTATTTTTGAACAATATTTAATTTTTGCGAAGAATATTATTACTCTTGAAAATAATTGAATTTCTGCAATCATTTGTAATTTCTCTAAAATTCTCCAAATTATATCGTACAATTTACGAACTTTTCGTCCTTTTTTAATCAAATTACAGATTTTACGGAACATTTTTCAAAAAAACGGACCTAGTCTCTTAAAAGAAGATTTTTACAATAGTTTATTTATGAAAAATGTGAAACAAAACAAAGAAACTTTGTTCCTAAGATAAAACTTTCAATTAGAATAAATGAAAATACTTTTAAAATAAGTCTTACATAAAAGAAAATTGATTAATATTCAAATGAATTCTATGTAAGGAATCTAGAAAAGGGCATTTTACTTTTACAATTATTTAATAACTTTGCTTTAAAAAATTGTTTCCTCTATGCTATTGCAGAAACTGTCATTAAAGAATAGTTGTGGAAAGTTTAAGGCGGATTGCTTGCAAATAAATTTTATAATTTGCTTCCATTTACAAATGTGATACATGATCCATGGTATTGTGTCAACCGAGACAGATTTTGCACTGTTGATACAATTTATATGCTGTAAGTTTATTTGATCAAATTAATTGCCTTATTGTCATAGAACCATCACTGTAAAAAAAGTCTTGTTTAAAGCTTGATTTTGGCTAAAACAACAACAACCGTCAGCAGTGAACTGATTTTAATACCTAAAATTGTCTTAATTTTATTTTAATCCCAAAAATGAGTTGAATTGACAAATAAATTTAATTAAACTTTAATTACTCTAAGTGACCAAAAAGCCGATAGTTTATAAGCTTTTAGTTGCCTTGATTTTGAAAGTAGCGTGACGGAAACCGCACATTACATCCTTGCAAGTACCACTGTCAGGCGGTTGTCGCGTCAAGTCTCTAATTTAAAGTTTAAAAATTGATCCTTATTAGCAAATAACATATTTCGCTTAACAGTTTTAAGAAGACTTTTATTTCTCTAAAAGTTGTCGTGATACTTTGTGTGCAAAAAATGCACATCTTTCCGAAGTATTGTATTTGTGTGTGTGTGTTTGAGTGTGGACCAGCAAAAAAGGATAATTGTGGGTTACATATTTTTCAACAATAATCCCTTTTCTTTAGAACGATAAGGACGTAATTGTCCGCATTCTTAGTCTGGCTAAAAGAGAGCACAAAAAAAAGAAATGGAAGGTTTTTTCAGTATTGCAAGTCGTTGCTTCAAATAATTATAGAATTTATCCTAATTTAGGGTTGAAAAAAATGGAAAACGTTTGCGAGCAAGGTTAACGTTTAGTGTATACACACAAAATGGGTGTATTTAGACAATTAATAGAATTATTAGTAGGGAAAAATTGTTTTTTTTGTCAAAGGACTTGATAGCAAGGAAGTTTTTAACTTAAACGAAACAAATGGTGCGTTACTTTCAGAAATTTTCGTACTAAGTAGAACTAAAAAAAGTAGTAAAAAAGTAGCTATTGAATAATTAAACTTGACGATCAAAAAAACTCGTTTTAGACACTTCACAAAACTGACAAAAATTTCATACTATATTTTATTTTTCTGACCTTTTCCTAATTTACATCAAAAATATTTACTCCTCTCTTATCCTACTAATAAATTAAATTCCAGCAACGAATTTTATTATTCATTAAAGAATTTAAATATTTATAAAAATAATTTAATTCTTGCCAAGAATTTCATAAAAATTGTTAAATAATTGACTTCCTTTGACTAATTTTATGCAAATTCTAATTTAAATAATTGAATTCCTGAGAAATTATCATTATTCATAAAAAGAATTGAATTCTTACGAAGATTTTTACAAAAAATTTTTTAAATAATTGAATTCTGTTGGGAAATTTTATTTTCAAAATCATTGAATTGCGAAAAGTTTTAAAAAATAATTCAATTTTACAATGAATTCTATTAAAACTTTTAACAATGATTGAATGTCTGTGTGGTATTTTATTAATTTTTTTTTAAAATAATTGAATTCTTAAAAAGCATTTTATTATTTATCAAAATAATTGAATTCTTGCGAACGATTTTATTAGAATTTTTTAAAATAATTGAATTTCCCAAAAAAAAAAAAAAAAAAAAATGTATTAAAAAAAAATGTAAAAAAATGTATTACTTTTAAAAATAATTAAAATCTTGTGATGAATATTGTTATTTATGAAAATAATTGAATTTTGCAAAGAATTTTATTAAAATGCCTAAAAATCATTGAATTTTCGGAAATAATTTTCTTATTTATCTTTAATAATTAAATTCTTTCAAAGAATTATTTATGTAAATAATTGAAGTCTTAGAAAGAATTTTATTAAACTCTAAAGAAATAATTTAATTTTTCAAAAAAATTTAATTAACATTGTATTTAAAATAATTGATTTCATTCGAACAATTTTATTAAAATATTTGAAAATAATTGAATTCCTGCGAAAAATTCTAATACTTTTGTAAATAATTGAATTCTTACAAAGAATTTAAAAAAAAAAATTTTTTTAAATTGATTTTTTCGAGAAATTGAAATTAAATTTTTAAAAATAATTTACATTTTTTGAGCAATTCCTATAAAATTGTTTTTAAAATAATTGAAATCCTGCGATGAATTTTATTATTTATGAAAATAATTAAATAGTTGCTAAGTATTTTATTAAACGTTTCAAAAATAATTAAATTTCTGAGAAGAATTCTATTATTTATGAAAATAATTGAATTATTGCGAAAAATTTTATCAACTGTTTTTTTTTAATTAATTGAATTCGTTTGCGAAATTTTATAAAAATACTAGATAATTAAAAATAATCGAATTTCGAATATTATTTGAAAATAATTGGATTTTTTTTAAGAATTTGATTATCATTTTTTAGAATAGTTTTTCGATTTCTAGTATTAGCGAATTTAAAGCAGTGGAAATTCTAAAAAAAAATAACAGAAATAGTAGCTTTTAGTGGCTGAAGTCTAAAAAAAGTACCCAAATAGTAGCATAACGTAAAAAAAGTAGTAAACAGTAGGTTTTAGTATGAGTGCGTAGCCTGATTACAAATTATGCTGAAATTTCAAGATTCGTTCTAATGGTTATTTTTTTATTTTCAAATTTATTTTAACATTTAGTTTCCTTCGGCTAAATTGTGCAAAATAAAAATGAAACACAAATTTTCATAAAAAACCTCTAAAAATTGTTTTTACAAACAAAACTCTAAAAATTATTTTAATATTAAAGAAAATTATTTTCGATTTTAGTTTCACGATGTAAGAAGTTTTTATTCTATTTTTGTACCTAGTAATTTTCTCGTTAGTAAAATATAACTTTAATAACGAGACATTTCTAAGTGAGATATATATGGTATATATGTGTATATGTAAAAACGCCCCTCTTCGAATGAAATACTGGTGTATGTAGTACTGACAGAGCATTAATCCGGTTTTCTTTCGCTATAAGGATTCTATAATCGTGTCCAGCCTTTCTTCGCTTTAGCGTCTACTTAGAGGTCTGTTTATTCGCTTTACAGGCACCCTCCGCCCACCAGGTCTGATTGGTGGCAGCAAGCCCAAGGTAGCGACGCCCGCAGTAGTCGCCAAGATTGAACAATACAAGAGAGAAAATCCAACCATCTTCGCCTGGGAGATTCGAGAGCGACTTATCTCCGAAGGTATTAATAACAATAAATTCTTTATCTTATGTATGCAGAGAAAAACAGATGCTTGGAATTCGTCTTAAATATAACAATCCAATAAATTTTTGTTAGTATACTATTGTGATTGTTGGTACACTACTATTATTTGTACTATTTTTAATATTATTATAATTCTCAGTTGTGAAAAACTAATTGAGCGCTACAATGCAACAACTCGTTCGACGCTCGAAACATTTTCGAGCGTCGAACGAGTTGTTGCATTGGAGCGCTCAATTAGTTCTTCAGTAAAGGTTAGAATGTTTTTAGGACACAAGGATCAATTCACTAATTTTGAAAGTGAAAAAGCAATATTAGAAAAATTAAAAGATAATCAAGTTCTGTTATCTTTTCTGTAATCAAGAGATTAACAGAAATCGTCTCTGCTTTTTAATTAGGTGTTTGCAGTAATGCAACAGCACCATCTGTAAGTAGTATTAATCGAATTCTACGTAATCGAGCGGCGGAGCGTGCCGCAGCGGAATTCGCAAGAGCCGCTGGTTACGGTTTGTACGCGGCTGGACCGCATCCGTATTTTAATTCGGCCCATCATCATCCGTCGTCAGCTCATCATTTATCATCAGGATGGCCAACGCCAGGTGCCGGTGGTCATCCCTGGGTACTACCACCACTAGGAAGTGGAATGTCAGGTGCAGCGTCGGCACTTCTACTTCCACCGTCATTGAGTCCCGGTGCTGCTGCCGCTGCAGCGGCGGCCGCCGTTGCTTCAGCGTCCGTCGCCGGAAGTCCCGATCACGCTCTTCACGCAGCCGACGCTATCGCTCGTGGCTATCTTCAAGGTGGGTTTGTCTCACTCAGTTTGTGATTACTGTATATTGATGGCTGATGATATTAATTGTAAATTAACACCATATTGATGTGAAGTTAATTTGCAATTAACTCTTGGTCTATGATGAATACATTCACCTACATCTACTAGTCTCTACACTCTACTTTCTACTATTCCTAAGGCTCCGGAACATAATTCCTACACAGAAAAAACGATAAACTAATTTTAAGAAGCGTCTAATACTTAAATAGGAGCCAGGAATATTCCCTACTTACATTAAGTGGGGCTACTTAATTTTAACTTAACTTTAATTTACCTCAATTTTAACTTAATTTAAGTAGGCTCCTATTTAAGTAGGTTTTTCTTAAAATTAGATTATCGTTTTTTCCGCTAACCTGATTTGACAGTTTCTAAGGAAACAGAGAAACTAAAATGATATCTAACGAGAAATATTATCACCTTGAAGGTGATTTTTGTGCAGATGGCGATGGCGATGACGGAAGTTTGGACGGTTCGGAACAACCGAAATTCCGTCGCAATAGAACCACCTTCAGTCCGGAGCAACTCGAAGAATTGGAGAAGGAATTCGAGAGATCTCATTATCCATGTGTATCGACGAGAGAGCGTTTAGCGTCAAAGACCTCCCTCTCGGAAGCACGTGTCCAGGTAAGTTTGTTGCTACCAACATTTTTTTTTTCAATTTGAAAATGAAAAAAAAAAAAAATATTTGCAATCTAGTCACGAGCCATCTAACGACCTAACTCGTGACTCTTAGGTTTGGTTTTCCAACAGACGGGCAAAGTGGCGGCGTCATCAACGAATGAATCTCTTAAAACGTTCGCCACCGCCGCCACAATCGCAGCAGCAGCAACAACAACAACAGCAGCAGCAGCCGCCGCCGCATTCCGCTGGATTAGACATCAACCGTACAGCGGGTTGCTCCATCGGTGGAATGGGCGGCGAAAATAGTGCCTTTCGCGCAGTCGTCACTGGACCAACGTCAACAACAGTCGAACGTATCGAGAGGATTGAGACAACCACAAGACAACCAGAAAGAAAGCCAAGTGCTTTTCGTATGATAAGTCAATTGGTGGGTGAAACTTCACCAAGTGGTCCACCGAGTCCAGGAGCTGATCAACGTAATCATGAGCCAGGAGTCGATCCCGGACCAGGAAGACCAGAAATTGAATCAATCGACGATGAGGACGAGGAGATCGATGTTCAGGATTCCGATCAAGATGCACCGTCGCCGTCACCAGTTGCATGGAGGGATCATTGGACTGATCAACAACCTCTCGAATTAACCAAACACGATCGTTGATTATCATTATCATTCACAAGGTGATTATTCATTTTCAAAATCAGGTCTATCGACTCTTTATATTCTCTCGGGAATAGCACACAATTTTTCAGGGCATTGAAAAAGCGTTTTTCAGCTCTTGGGATTCAAGATGGCACACACTAGCTTTTGGTGTATTATGCGGAAATTCAATACGAACTTATTTTCTTTATCAGTGATCAGTATTGTTTTAACGGTAGAAATGGTTCGCGTGTTTAGTTATTCAGAACATGATTATGTGGAAAGCCGCTCTTTTTTTTTGAAAAAAAAAGAAATCTTTCAAGATTTTACTCATTGTTTGTCAGATTATGTTATGAACAAATTAAAACCTCTTTTCTAACTCTAAATGATGTATTGTTACACACAAAGATATATATCTTCTGGGAAGATACAAAGTGCTGTCCGTGTAAGAGCCACAAGTCTAGTGAATTAATAATCAGGAATTGATTTTCTGTTATAATTGCTTCATAAGAGAGCATATTATGTGTATAATTCCTTATGAGTGTCTGCATTTCTTCGAGTTACACAGAAAGAACGGTAATCTAATTTTAAGAAGCTTCTACTTAAATAGGAGCCAAGAATATTCTCCACTTAAATTAAGGGGCCCCACTTAAATTAAGTAGGAAATATTCCTACAATAAGATTGATATTTTAATTGTAAGAATATTTCCCACTTAATATAAGTGGGGGCACTTTATTTAAGTAGGAAATATTCTTGGCTCCTATTTAAGTAGGAGCTTCTTAAAATTAGATTATCGTTTTTTCTGTGTAGAGTATTATTACTTCGGATATTCTGAAGGGATGGAACTCTTCATTGAATGGTAATTGTAAGTAGAGTAATAATACTTGCAATACTAATAGTACTTGCAGCTCAACTTTTTTTTAAATTCAACTAATTTTTGGGCTTAAAATAAAAATAAGAAAAATTTGAGGTTCTAAAATTATACATTTCAATTGTAAATACAATTTACAATTACATTTACAAATGTTAATTGTTTCAGTCAAAATTAGGTTTAAAACAAGACTTATTTTTTTAATGTGTTAAATCCAAAAAGTGTATCAAATTTTAATTTATTTAAAAACTAAAATTACCATTCAAACTGTTATTCTAAAAGCGGATGATTGAGACTTCTAAAGCGAGACTACAAATCTTTGGAGCGAATTTCACTCCTGACTGTATATAATAGAATATGCCTTTTTTTCAGTGAAAATCCACTCCATTGATATTAGTCATTTTAGTAAATTCACTACGACTATAAATATTGTATATCAACCACCATATTGTCGTTTGTATATATATATAGTTCGAATTAAAAAAAGAACAAAGAATTTTTTTTTCTGTGAAACAACGAGTATTATTTGTACTCTCCTATTAAATAGTAGCTAACTCTCTAGCTCAATGCATCTTTTCTTATCTACCAGAAATACTAAATTACTCTCCGAGTTCACTCGAAGGCGCGAGCTCGAAACTAGTCCTAGAAGAAATATACTTTGAAGCTATATCCATTTTCGAACGATATATTTCACACCTCGACGTGTTTTTCAAGGAAACCATGGAAGAAAAAAATAAACTATACAATTTCGCGCAAAAAAGAAGAAAAAGATAAGCCAATGGATTCGAAACAATTTTAAAGCTTGGCGTGAGAAAATCAAGTTATAGAAAATAACGTTTACTAGAGAAATGAATACGCAATCTTAAAAAAAAAATTTCTCATGTGATGAGAATGTAAAAAGTACTTCTTGAATACGTATAAATATATATATAGATAATTCTGTAACAAGTTCTGTTAAATCCTTTTATTTAAATGAATCGTTTGTAAATACGAATCACGTAGTTGTTTGTGTCTTTGTCTTCAACCTCATCGTATCCTCCGCTCCCAAAAAATAACAGATCCTACCGAATCCAAGGAGTGAATGAGAAAGAAAAAAAAGGGATGAGAGATTAATCCGAATCGAATGTGTATACATTTTTTGGGAAGATCTGTAAATTTTTAGCATACGAAACTGGTTCTCTCTGGAGCAAAAGGGAAAGAGTTACACTGACAAAAAAAAAAAATTTGTTGACTCAATTAATTCTAATTATTAGAAAAATATTTATTTCATTTAAATAATTTTTATTTGGATCTAATAAATATTTATTTGCTTCAAACAACTTGAATTATTTGAATCACATTTATTTGAATAAAAGAAATCTTAATAAGATCAATTAATTAATTAATTAATTAATTAAATCTAATAAATAAATTTATTTAATACAATACAAATAATAAGTTATTAAAAAAAATTATAATAAGTTATTTGAAACAATTAATTTATTTTATCGCTTCTAGTAAACTAAATTATTTAATGTAAATGCAAAAAAGTTTGTAATAAAAATTGTGATTTAAAATTTAAAGAAAGTTCCAGACTACGGAAAAAGTGAACAAATTTTCAGTAATTAACAAAAAAAGTTTAACAAAATTCTTGAACATATTTCTGACAGCAAATTTTCAATTAGAATTCTTCAAAAATATACGATTATATTTCTAAATAATTTTTAAAAGTAAACAAATAAAATTCATTAAAATATAAAATTTATTTCAATGGAATTTGACAAAATTTTCAATTGTTTCAATTTATTGAAACTATTTTTGGAATTTTTGAATTAAATTTTTCAAAACTTGAATACTTTTTGTTAAACAAAAATTTAAAAACTTATTCTTATTTATTTTTCCACAGGAATTAAAATTTCAAATAATTTCAATCAAAAACATCATGAAATTTAATTATTTCTAGAATTTATGAATAAAATTTTTGAAAAACTTTGAGAATTTTTCAAGAAAAATAATGTAATTAATAATTTTTTAAAATAAAAATTTTAATATTTTTATACATTTGCTTCCCTTAAATTTTCAAGGAATTTAATTTAAAATTCTTTTAAAAGTTAATTTTTGTAAATTCACAAAATAATGTATTTTCAAAAATAAAAATATTATATTTATAGAAAATTTTTAAAGATGAAAAAATAAAATTCTTTAAAATATAAAATTTTACAAAATTGTTTTAATTTTTTAAAACTGTTTTCGAGAATTCAAGTATATCTTCAAAAATTTTAATTATTATTTGTCAAAAATATAATTTTTTCCGAATTTTTAAATTAAATCTTTAAAATTTCAATTATTTTTGTAAAATAAATTTATATTTTAATATAGGTACTTATTGTTCTTTATTTCCTTCAAAAAATTTTGAAATAAATAAATAAATAAATGTATAAATAAATGAAAATTTGAACTGCAAGTCTTTCAAAATTTTATTATTTTTCTACAATTTTTTGAATAATATTATTCAAAATAAATATTTATTTAAATTCAAAACATGCATTATTGAATCGAATAATTTTCATAATTGATTTAATGCAATATTTATTAGATCCAATTATTAAGTATATTTGACTCAAGTAATTAGTATTTGGTACAAATAACTAGGTATTATTATTTAATATACTATAAATTAAAAAACTTGTGTTCAGTAAATATTTACTTAGTTCAAATAAATATTTAATGTACAGACAAATAAACAATTTAATTGAAATAAATATTTCTTTATTTGAATTAAATATTTTGTTATTTGATTCAAAATTTTTTTTATTTGATTAAAATATTTTTTTATTTGTTTAAAATATTTTTTTATTTCACAGGAAAAAAAAAGTCTGACTCCGTTTACACCTTAAATTCAGCCCATGTATTTCACATAAGTCTGTCCTTGTTTAACGGGGCTGACTCCGTTTACATCTTAAATTCAGCCTCAAAAATAGGCTGAAAGTAAAACTTTTTTTTTTTAGTGTGTTGATTTAAATATTTTTTATTTGATTCAAATATTTTTTTATTAGAATCAAATATTTTTTTATTTGAATCGAATATTATTTTTTTATTTGATTGAAATAATTTTTTTCGATTCAAATAATTTTCCTGCGATTCAAATAATTTATTTCCCGTGTAGAGTGAGTGAGAGAGAAAGGACACTTGGCGCGAACAGTTAACGTCCTTAAAGATCGAGGGAGGACACTTGATTTTTTTTGAGGGGGGGTTTTTTTTCGATATATCGCACACGTCATTGAAGGGCGGGTTTCTTAAATTTATGGGTTGTTCGAGAAGGGCGGAAAGGACGCGTTGAACTTGTTGAGGGACACGGGAGGGAAAAACAGATCGGCGTTACTGTAATGCGAACAAACTTGCCAAAGGCATTAACACCGGTGGTGGGTGAGTGGTCTCGTCGGCACTCCCACAATAAAAGAAGGAACTACCGACCAACTAGCAGTAGGTGAGACAAACGGTTGAGAGAGAAAAAGAGCGAGAGAGAGAGAAATCGAGAAAAGGAGAAAGAAAGAGAGAAGTAGAAAGAAAGAGAGAGAGAGAAAAAGAGAGGGAGAGAGAGAAATAGAGAGAAGAAGAAAGAAAGAGAGAGAGAGAGAAAAAGAGAGGGAGAGGAGATAAAACTAGTGAGTATAAGAGAGAGGGAGCGAGGCAGTCAGGCGCGAGAACGGGAACGTAACAATTACTATCTGAGACCGATCGGCGCGGAAAGATTAACGATCTTACTCTTACCGGGACGTCGGGTGCCTCACCGCGATTGCTCACGAGACGAGGGGCACATTAAAGTCACCTTCTTCTTTCTCAATGAGATATTGCCCAGCGCGAGGCGAGCACCTTTTCCAGCCGGTGGTGTGTGTCTTGTAAATCGTACGTCGTTTGCTTGAAAACGGATTGCGAAGCCCATCGAAGGCCGAACGAGAAGCTTTAAACGAAAATAAGTCTTTTAAAGACGACGACGACGACAAGAAGTCGATTCGCGTGGGTTGATATTTTCTCTCACTCCCTCTCTCCCTCTCTCTCTCTCTTTCTTTCTTTATAGATATTTCATTGTAGAGATACAGTTTTTTTTTAAGGACAGATTTTATATACAATAATCATTCTTGTCGTCTGATTTGATTGAGCTGTAAATCGTAATACTTGAACGGAATTCTATACAAGAGTATAATAAAGGAGAGAAATTTCCCTCCGAGGTGCTGAGGAATAATAAAGGCGGGCAAATTTATTCCGGATATCAATTACTGTAGAGAGGAGGGAGTTTATGTTTATGTTTTAGTGTAGATTTTTATTGTTTTGCTTGCAGATTCTAGGGTTGTATGTGGTCAGGTTTCTATATGCTTATAGAGTGAAGAAACTTATTTAAAGTTGCATTTTAAATTAATGTAACAACTTAGCCATTTTATAAACATTTGAGGCTTAGCAACGTTAGGGATGAATTTCAATTTTCTTGTCTATTTTTCGCCAGTCAAGAGTCATTTAAGAAGAAATATTTCCTAAAGGTAAGATTGAAATAAGGAAGAAAAGTAAGTATCTATAACTTCATTACTTTCATGAAAAACGAAATTTTAATTTAGCGTCGAAAACTGTATTAGTTTGTATTTTTAGAGACAAAAATGTCCCTAATTTAAATTTTTTATTTTATTATGTATTAGGCTTACCACCCTCAAGTGGTAAAAGATTGTTATCCTGTCAGTTTTTATACCGAATTCAAGATAAAAAATAATACTTCTCTTTTTCCAGTACAATAGTTTTTTGATTTTTAGAATAAAGATGCAAAAAATCAAAAAACAATTGTACCATTTAGGATATTAATTAATAAAGAAGTTTGAACAAAAAAATAAAAAAACTTTGAATTTTATTTATGCCCGAATGATGAAGGTAAGCATTCCTGTCTAAAGAATATAGGTATAAAAAAATATAAATTTATATATATATAAAGTCATTGTGGACATTTGTAAGGAGATATAAATATTTAACATTTAGCGGCAAAGGATTAAAAGAAGTTCATCTTGTTTTAAAGAAGAGTTCTCTGACACCGTTTGTTAAGATGCCGGTTTGTTGAATTCAATCTAGTGGAAAATGATATTACGCTTGAACATCAACTCGACGTTCAAATGGAAACATCAGTGTTGACGGAGAGATAGAAGGCACACACGCATAGATTATACTGCGCGAAGGAGTAGGTAGCCTGGGAATTTGAGACAACATACAAGAAAAGAATCACAGCTTTGTAAAAGTTGGAAAAAAAAGAAGTTTTTTCAATTTTTTTTGCTTTTTTTTTGTTTCTTTTTTAAAGTTGCGCACAACATTCTATATATGTCAAACCAATCTACACTAGTTAACATAATCATTTATCAGTATTACTTCGAATTTTACATCTCTTATCATTCACAAATAGCTTCTTCCATGCATTCCAATAATTATTATCTGAGTCATCAAAATTAATTTAATTCACAATTCATAAAAAGTAACCACAGCCAATAATCTGCAGAAGATGAAAAATTATTTATTGAGCGAACTTTCTCTTCTGTTTACAAAAACAATTGGTACCTCAAAAATTTTTTACTGGTCCCAAACTATTGCTAGAACAATTCCAATTAATATCTGGCTCATCAAAATTAATTTTATTAACAATTCATAAAAAGTAACCACAGCCGAAAATCGGCAGAAGATGAAAAATTTATTTTTAAGCAAACTTTATCTTCTGTTTACTAACAATTGTTAGCACAAAAATTTTTTACTGGTCCCAAACTATTGCTTGAACAATTCCAATAATTATTTGAGTAATTAAAATTAATTTAATTCACATTTTATAAAAAGTAACCACAGCCGAAAATCAGCAGAAGATGAAAAATTTTATTTTTGAGCGAGCTGTATCTTTTGTTTACTAACAATTGTTAGCACAAAAATTTTAAACTGGTCTCAAACTATTGCTTGAACAATTCCAATAATTATCTGAGTAATTAAAATTAATTTAATTCACATTTTATAAAAAGTAACCACAGCCGAAAATCAGCAGAAGATGAAAAATTTTATTTTTGAGCGAGCTGTATCTTTTGTTTACTAACAATTGTTAGCACAAAAATTTTAAACTGGTC